GGTGGGGGGAGAAGAAATTGATGGGGTGAGAGTGACAGGGGAGGGAGGGGCAATGAGAGTGGGAAGGGGGAGGGGAGAAGAGAGTGACAAGGGAGAGGGGGGAGAAGAGAGTGACAAGGGAGGGAGAGGGGGGAGAAGAGAGTGACAAGGGAGGGGGGAGAGATTGACATCCATCACACACAAATGCAATGCACCCCTTGCACACAGAAAAACACACAATGCATTACACACACAGACACACACACACAAACAATGCAACCCTTACACACAATGCATCCTTACACACACTCAATGCACCCCTTACACACACTCAATGCACCCCTTACACACGCACACACTGCATCCTGTACATACACAGAAACACACCTTGCAGCCCTTACACATACAAACACAGATTCACACAATGCATTCCTTACACACATATCAGGACATCCCCTACACACTCCACCCCCTGTGAACAAACTCATTGGTGGAACATAAAGGTGGACCCTGGGACCCAGACCTTGAGCTGTGTAAAGGGCCCCCCAAAAAATGGAGCTGCTTCCCGTTCTCCCAGAACATTGATTTTGTGACCACAGTTACAAACAGCCTCCAGAGAGCCTGTTCTACACCAGACCAATGGAGCCAGACTGCAGCTAGAGCCCATCATCATCCTCATCTCATTGTAAGTAGGCAATCTAGTATATTATTCGTGGCACTAATCTCTAATTTACCTCACATTAAAGAAACACTATAGTCCCCAGAACCACTGCAGCTTAATGTAGTTGTTCTGGTGTCTATAGCCTGTCCCTGCATGCCTTATAATGTAAACACGGCGGCACTGCAGCACTGGCGTTAGTTAACATGGCAGATCATATGGGTGGAGCATTGTGATGTCACATGGTGGGGGGGGGGCGGCAAACTTTACTTTTGCCTAGGGCGGCAAAAATCCTTGCACCGGCCCTGGTTCTGTTTTGGACAGGTTAAGTTTAAGGAAATGAGCAGCCATCCAGTTGGAAATAGCAGAGAGGCAATCAGAGACACAAGTCAAGATGGGTGGTGATAAATCAGGGGAGGACAGAAATATTTGCGTGTCATTTGCATAGAAATGATACTGGAAGCTGAAGGAGCTGATAAGTTTACCAAGGGAGGCAGTGTAGATTGAGATCAATAAGAAACCAAGGACAAACCCTTGGGGAACACCAGCAAAGAGGGATTGGGGAGAAGAGGCAGAGCCAGAGAAAGAAACACTGGAAGAGTGCTTGGAGATTTAGGAAAAGTGCCAGGAGAGAATGGTATCTCGTAGATCGAGATTACGGAGGATTAGAAGAAGCTGTTGATGATCCACATTGTTTAAAGCAGCAGAAAGGTCGAGGAGAATTAGGATAGAGTAGCAGCCACGTGAATTTAGATGCTTTGGTCACAGAGTGACGAGTGCTGAGTGCTGAATCCAGATTGAAGCAGGTCAAGCAGAGAATTTGAGTTGAGGAAGTCTGTCAAGCTCGCATACACAACTCTCTCAAGGATCTTGCAAGCAAACGGCAGTAGCGAGATAGGGCGCTAGTTGGACAGGGAATTAGGCTCAAGGTTGGAATATGGGTTACGGTTGCATGTTTGAAGGATAGAGGAAATGTAACAGAGGAGTGGGAGAGATTAAAAATTTTAGTTAGAGGTAGAGCAAGAGAAGGAGACAAAGTGCGGATGAAATACGAGGGAATAGGATTGATCGAACAGGTGGTGGGGTGGGAGGAACGAAGCAGAGCAGAAACCTCTTCTGCTGCGGCGGGTGCAAATGAGCATAGGACAGCTGAGGGAGTGTGGTTAGGGGAAAAGTTGGTAGGGGATGGAGTGAGATGAGAGATCTCTTCCCTGATTGTAGAAAACATCTCAGTGAAGTGAGATGCAAATTTTGTGGTGGTCAAGTTGGTAGGAGGAGGCACAACAGGGTGAGGAAGAGAGTTAAAAGCATAAAAAAGTTGTTTGGGCTCCCGGGAGAGTGTGGTTATGAATGCATCGAGGTAGTTTTCTTTTTAAGAGGACAGAGCCAGTCTATAGTAGCGCAGCATAAATGTATAGTAGAGGAAGTCAGACATAGAGTGAGACTTTCTTCAGCAGCATTCAGCAGTTTTAGAACATTTTTGGAGGTAATGGATAATCTCGGTGTGCCAGGGTTGTAATTTGGGGCACTTACTGCGTTTAAGTGTAAGAGGTGCCATGATGTCTACTTGAGAGGAGATAGTGGAGTTGTAGAGGGAGGTTACTGTGTTTGGGCAGGTGAGGTTTGAGATGGGTGAAAGGATACTTTTGAGGCTGGTGGAGAATCATTGTAGGTCAAGACAATGGAGGTTTCTGTGAGTCTGATGTGATGAGGGTGGTGTAATTTGGGTACGGTGTATGCTGATGTCAATGGACAGCAGATGGTGGTCAGATAGAGGAAATGGAACATTGGAGAGATTAGAGGTTGTAAAGAGATTGGTGAAGATGAGCTCAAGAGTATTTCCTGCTGTATAAGTTGCTGAATTAGACCACTGTGGGAGTCCAACAGAGGAGGTTACAGAGATCAGACGAGTGGCATCAGGGAAGTTGGGGTAGGAAATGGGGTTGCCAGGAAGAAAAGTGTTCAATAAATGTGTTCAATAAGCCAGGAAGATAAGTGTTCAATAACCGGCGGTGGGAGGGGGGTGGGGAAGCAATAAATTATGGTAATACTTAGAGGAGTGGGTTTAAATAGTCTGACAGTGTGATCTTCAAAGGAAGTAAAGGATAGGGCAGAGGCTCGGAGGATAGGTTGAAAGGTACATTGAGGGGATAGGAGGATGCCTACACTCCCTTCTTTATAGTAGTTTGGTCTTGGAGTGTGGGAGAATTGTAGCCCACCATAATATAAGGAAACAGGAGAAGCAGTATCAAATGGGGACAGCCAGATCTCAGTGAGTGCAAGTAGTATGAAATAATTTGAGATAAAGAGGTTGTGTATGGCTGTTGATTTTATATTGCTGCAGATGGAGCAGACATTCCAGAGTGCACACTGAATATTGGTAGATGGGGATAGATGGCACGGTATTGGGATAATGTTTGTTTGGTTTCTGGTTGTCTTAGCGTGAGCAGAGGAGGTGAAGGGCCCTGGGTTGGGAGAGACATCACCAGCTGCTAAAAGCAGGAGGGGAGATAAAGACAGAAGATGTAAGTGGGTTTTTTATGGATGGAGTCTGGGATGAGATCGAGTGAGAGAAGGATGGAGAGAACAGATAAAATAGGGCAGGGCATGAGATGAGAGAAGGGGGAGTGCAGCAGAGAGGGGTTAATATGGAGGTTGTTGTTAGGTTGATTGAAATGGGTGTGGAAGGAGAGATTTTGATACTGAGAGAGAAAATGGAAAATAAGAGGAGATCAAAGACACTCTTGCTTAAATTTTTACGCTAAAGCCCTTCGTTTTTCAGGATGTCAATCCACCATCCATGCACTTTCTAGTGTAGGAATTTGACGTCAGCCAATAAGGAGCTTCTTACTGCTATTTAAGCCCCTCTCTCCATTACTTTGATTTGGTTTTTGTACCCAATACTGCATTTATAAATACTCCTATTCATTTTTGGTATTGAACTCTGGCTTGTTTGACTATTCTGCTTTCTGAACTCCTGACCTTGGCTCTGTCTCTTTGTATTTGTATTGTTGCTTTTTGAAACCCTGTCCTCGATTTACCCGCTTACAGGCAGGGCCAGTTTAAGCATGCACAGGGTACCAAATTGACAGGGTGACAAGTGGTGAGTGTTAGAGGGATAGTGTGGCAGTCTGAGAGGGGTGGCAAGTGTTACAGGGTTAGAGTGGTAGGCTGAGAAGGGTGGTGAGTGTAACAAGGTTGGGAGTGAGTATGAGAGGGTTAGGGGAGATGAGTGTGAGAAGGTTGTGGGGTGACTGACTGTGACAGTGTGAGTGAGGGGATGAAGGTGTATGGGAGCGGTGTGTTTGGGGGTAAGTGGCAGTATATGTGGAGACTATGTTAAACACAGTTTCTCCACAATGTAGGGCCTTTCATTTTTTTAGTTAACATTTACCCCCTCCTGCTTACCTTCTGGACAGTAATATCTGTGGTGTAGCAGATCATAGTTCTGTGAGGATGTCAGAGCATAGGCTGAGAATCCCTGCACCTGCTCTCTGACTCACTCACAGAGCGCTGGAAGCTGCAACGGACCTCAATTAGACAACAAAACACAAGGGAAACATTTTTGTCTAAAGGGCTATGCAAGGAGATAAGTTAATATTCATATAAAGCAAACAATATATACAAAGTCCTAGTGCGTAGCCCAAGTATATATCACCACACTTTGAAACACCTGTGTGATTACCTCTCTATCCACACAAACTGAATTTATACATACATAAAAGATAGTTGGAGTGTGCATGATTCTTGGTTAATGGTATCAATAATAAGTGTAACAGATAAAAAAATGGCAAAACCTAGTGTAATACAAGTGTATACACATATACAGTAATCCTTAAGTCTTGTACTCAAAAGTGTAGAGCCACAATATTAGGCTCAATGTGTGGGCTGGGAATATTAGAAGGGATCCCACTCCCTTACGTGGTACTGCTGGGATGCCCGTTGTTATGATCCACCAAATAATTTCACTGGACGTGAGATGGCGGTATAAAGATGTGTTTATTTCCAAACAAAGTAAAATAAATTAATAATATAAAAAGTCTAAAGGTAAAAAGTACTTGCCTATGTGTTAGGCTTCCTCAGTTGCGAATGTTGCTCTCCGGTATTCCGGCACCGGCCACATTGGTAGCCTAATGTGTAATCCAGGTATTCTTTATTTATCCTTGCTATCCTGCGTTCATAAAGATCACAATTAGGTATATCAATTGCATGTGCTTCTTACCAGTGATTCACGGGAAATAAATATACTGCCATTATAAAATATTAGCACAATATTACAACATATGCCTCCTTAATTTCAAGAGATCCAAATACAACAGCAGAGCAAACAGTAGAAAGATAGCTCTACATTTTTCGTGCTCAGTCGAGCACTTCTTCAAAGACACTGAACTTGTGTACTAGTGCCTTTTAAATAACGCCCACCACTCAGGGGCAGTATATAATTAGATAATTATTATAAAATGTAATCAGCTATCACACTTAGGAGTGGAACATTAAAGGACCACTCTAGGCACCCAGACCACTTCAGCTTAATGAAGTGGTCTGGGTGCCTGGTCCTTCTAGGGTTAACCCATTTTTTAATAAATATAGCAGTTTCAGAGAAACTGCTATGTTTATGAATGGGTTAAGCCTTCCCCCTATTCCCTCTAGTGGCTGTCTCATTGACAGCCACTAGAGGCGCTTGCGTGCTTCTCACTGTGATTTTCACAGTGAGAGCACGCCAGTGTCCATAGGAAAGCATTGTAAATGCTTTCCTATGAGACCGGCTGAATGCGCGCGCAGCTCTTGCCGCGCGTGCGCATTCAGCCGGCGGGGCGTAACGGAGGAGGAGAGGAGGCAGAGAGCTCTCCGCCCAGCGCTGGAAAAAGGTAAGTTTTAACCCCCTTCCAGAGCCGGGCGGGAGGGGGTCCCTGAGGGTGGGGGCACACTCAGGGCACTATAGTGCCAGGAAAACGAGTATGTTTTCCTGGCACTATAGTGGTCCTTTAAGTAATTAAAAGGAATATCAAATGGCAATATGGGATGGCTTTAAGTGTTACTTATATTTATGTATAAAATTAAAAGTTCAGAACAATGTTTCAAGAAAAATATTACTACACTATATATATTAACACCATACATATCAGTGGCTATTTTGGTACATGTATAAATCCATTTTATTTTATGACCTTCCAACTCTACCAGGACTGTGCAAAATGTGACAACATTGTATTAAATTGAATGGCTACCCAAGATATAAAATAAGACCAGAGACTTATAAAATTGTGCAGACTAGATGGGCTGAATGGTTCTTATTGGCTGTCACATTCTATGTTTCTAATGTCACAGAAAAGTTAGAGGCTGAACCGTTAGTAAAACTGATCTAAAGTGAACCTGTCATGGCTTGTACACACATAAAGGGGAACTGTCATACCTGTAATGAGGTTAAGTAAAATCACTTAAACTCACTTATAACTTGCGCTAACCTTTTGTTTAAAATCAGATGTTTCCCATAATTTTAAATGTATATTATAGATTTAAAAAAGAAAAATTACATGCAGTTCATAATCCAGTTCAGCATCAGACAAGGCAAAGCCAGGGTAAACATTACATAGTTACATAGGCTGAAAAGAGACACATGTCCATCAAATTCAGCCTTCCTCACATTTGCACATTTGTTTTTTGCTGTTGATCCAAAAGAAGGCAAAAAAGATAAAACATTTTGAAGCACTTCCAATTTTGCCAAAAACTAGGAAAAAAAAATTTTTTTGACCCCAGCATGGCAGTCAGACTTATCCTTGGATCAAGAAGCTATAACCCTACATTTAAAAATTATATAATTGAATATTCTGTTTTTGCAAGTATGCATCTAGTTGCTGTTTGAACATCTCTATGGACTCTGATAAAACCACTTCTTCAGGCAGAGAATTCCATATCCTTGTTGTTCTTACGGTAAAAAAACTACTTTTCTTTGCCTTAGACTAAATCTTCTTTCTTCCAGTCTACACGCATGACCTCGTGTCCAATGTAAAGTCCTGTTTGTGAATAGATTTCCATATAATGGTATGTATTGGCCCCGGATATATTTATATAATGTTATCATATCCCCTCTGAGGCGATGTTTTTCTAAACTAAAGAGGTTTCAATTTGTTAACATTTCTTCAGGTTAACACATTTAAAATGTTCCATTCCTTTGATTAATTTTGTAGCCCGCCTCAGCACTCTTTCTAGTGCCATAATATTTTTCTTTAGAACAGGTGCCCAAATTGCACAGCATATTCAAGATGTGGTCTAACCAGTGATTTATAAAGAGGCAAAATTATATTCTCATCCAGAGAATTAATGCCCTTTTTCATGCATGACAATATCTTACTGGCCTTAGCCACTGCTGATTGACATTGCACATTGTTGCACATTTGTTGTCTTTAACAATTCCCAAGTCCTTCTGTACGTTTTTATCTCTAATTCACTCCCATTAAGTGTATAAGTGTTGCATGTGCATTTTTTACACTGAAGTGTATAACTTTGCATTTTTCTACATTAAATTTCATCTGCCATTTGAGTGCCCAGACCCTCAGTCTATCTAAATCCCTCTGCAGCAAAGTAATAACTTCGGCACTTTGGAACTTCAAGACTTTGGGTAAGTGTAGGGTTAGGGTTGGTTAGGGGTAGGGGTAGGGTTAAGGGTAGGGCTAAGGGTAAGGGTAGAGTTAGGTTAGGGGTATGGTTAGGTGTAGGGTTAGGTTAGGCTAGGGGTAGGATTAGGGTTTCTTTAGGGTTAGGGTTAGAGTTAAGGTAGGGCTAGGGGTCGGCTTAGAGGTAGGGTTAAGGTAGAGTTAGGGTAAGGGTAGGGTTAGGTTAGGGGTAGGGCTAGGGTTAGGGTTAGAGTAAGGTTAGGGGTAAGGTTAGGGTAGGGTTTAGAGTGGGGTTAAGGGTAAGGTTATGGGTTAGGTTAGGGGTAGGGTAGAGCTAGTTTAGGAGTAGGGGTAGGGTTAGGGTTATGGTAGTATTAGGGGTAGGGTTATGGTAGGGTTAGGGTTAGGGATAGGGTTGGGTTAGTAGTAGGGTTAGGGGTAGGGTTAGGAATAGGGTTAGGGTTACCCTACCTCTACCCTAACCCTACCCCTAACCCTATCCCAACTACTAACCCTATCCCAACCCCAACCCCTAACCCTACCTCTACCCCAACCACTAACCCTACCCCAACCCCTAACCCCAACCCTCTCCTGTTTTGCCACTTTTCAGAAATCCGAAGCACATTGGCATTTCTGAAATTCAGCACATTGGCACTTCAGCAATTCGGTTCGGCATTCCGAAATTCTGCATTTCGGCACTTTGAGAATTCGGCAATTCGGCACTTCAGACATTCGGAAGCATCCGAATGTCCGAATTTCCAAAAGTCGGGCGAATTTGCATTCGGAACAAAACTATTTGCACATGTCTAATGACTATCAATTCTTTTTTCAAGATCATTTATAAACATATTAAATAGAAGGGGCCCCAGAACAGAACCCTGAGGGACACCACTTGCCACCTCTGTCCAGCTTGAAAATGTATTATTAATGACAACTCTCTGTACTCTATTTTTAAACCAATGTTCTACCCAAGAACACTAATTTTCCTCTAGACCAATTTATTTGTTTGAACACTAAACTGTTGTGTGGAACTGTATCAAACGCTTTGGCAACATCCAAATACATCACATCCACTGCAACACCCTGATCTATACTTCTACGTACTTCTTCGGAGAATGCAATCAAATTAGTTTTACTTGACCTGTGCTTCATAAAACCATGCTGATTTTTGCTGATAACCATATTCTTCTCAAGGAATTCTTGAATATTATCCCTTTATAATACTTTCCCAACCACAGAAGTTAAGCCCACAGGTCTATAACTTCCAGGCAAGGGTTTTAACCCTATTTGAATTTAGGAACCATATCTACCTTCCTCCAATCTACCGGAACACTTCCTAAAAAAGAATCTTAAAGGTTAAAACTGAGGTTCACTTATTTCCATACTTAGTTCCTTAAGTACTCGTGGATGAATACCGTCAGGCCCTGGAGCATTGTTTATATTAACTTTCTTTAGTTCCTGCAGCATCTGTCTTGAGGTAGCCAATTACAGTTTTTCTGCAAGTTTTTTGCAGCAGTCATTTGCTTTTCTATTACCATAGGTTCTTCCTTAAAATGTACAGAGGAGAAATAGTTATTTAAAATTTCTGCCTTTTCCTGGTCTTCATTAACTCACACCCCATCCTGGTTTTTAGTGGACCTACACTTTGATTATTTGTCTGTTAACGATACAAGCTATTCCGATGCAAACAGAAAAACTATCCTACAGGTTATCCTTGTTAGTGGGTTGGAGATAATTACTTATGTATTACCTACTGTGAGATGTCTGCATGGGTGGTTTGAAATAATTTATATGAATCTACAAAAACTTTTATATACAAAATGTTAATTCTTGCATTTTGTGAGTACAAACATGGCTTAACATTACCTTACATGCAGGGCCGGACTAGGAAGAAAATTCGGCCCGGCCATTTTTTAATTAAAGTGGCCCACTGAAAAGGGGTGGGGCCAAATAAGTTGTGTTTTGTCGTAATCAATGACAAGCACGCCCCATCACAAAGTGAGCATGTTGGCTCTGCTGAAGAGCTCTAGCATATGAAAAAGACCCTGTATTTGTTCTGCACAGCGCAAGCAAATTTAATAACATGCTTGCACTGTGTTTCCTTGAAATTTGTCTCTGGTGTCTCCATAGATGGGATACGAGGAGACAAAAATGCCAGATAAGAGTATTGTGCAGTGTGTGTGTGTGAGTGAGGGTGTGTGAGTGCCAGGGGTGCAGTGTGTATGTGTGAAGGTGCTGGTGTGTGAATATGTTTAAAGAGCTTGTGTGTTGGGGGGGCAGATTATTATCATTATATATTATAGATAGAGCTCTTCCGGGTTCCTCTCCTGTCTCCCACCCTCCCCAGCCAGCGGTCGCATCACACTGCACTTGGGCTGGTGAGGGAGATCTTTGATCTCCCCACTGGCCGTCATGGAAATAAGCGGGGCCGGCACTCTGATAGTGCCGGCCCTGCGTGGACCGGCCATGGAGATCCTGTGATCTCTCCTGTCGGCCTCGGCCCATGGACATTGCGATTCACCAGGCATTTGCCCGGTGTGCCCGATGGCCAGTTCAGGCCTGCTTACATCCAAACATGCCAATTTTAAATGATTGTGGAAAAGTTGTTAAAATCTCTACTTACCTTCTTTTTAATGATGACCTCCCAAAGTGACATATTATTCTATGGGACAGGGACTAATATTACTTGTGAGATATTATATTTTTCTATAGTATATAACCAGAGCTAGAGCAGAGTGTCAGTTCCATTCCTAAGACCATATAAAGTGTAATCATCCATGAACTGTTATATATTGAAAATGCTGGCACCTCTTCAATGCATCTATAAGTGTTAACACAGAATAGTTTTTTTTTCAGATGGTTTCACTTCACATCCAGTCACCTTATTCTGTTGACCTCATTTCTGGACAAAAAAAAAAATCCAACCACTGAGAACGGCTCATTGACTTTCCAGGTTAATCTTCCTCCTCCATCTGCCATGTCAACAATAAAATCTAGAAATAATCTCTTATTAAAATAAATTCACTACATGTCAACTTCTGATTTGCAAATTAATGATGTGTAATTGGGGATTTTCACCAGCAAAGCTTTTTTCAGTATTTTTGACACTGTTTCCATCCTTTGTATGAGCTCCAAATTACCAATAACTATAAATATATAAAATATTTTAAATTACCCATTCTGTACCACTACGACATCATTTATTTTATGCTGCCGTTCGGCTCGTCCAACAAAAAAAATTGAGAAAGATATTCAGAAAACCAAAACAGCTGAAAAAAACTGTGCTGGCATGCAACAACTGCTACAATATTGCCCCATTTAATGGCTATGCAATATAGACATTTTGTTCCGAGTTGTCAAAAGTAAATTATTATATATTTGGATTTAGAGACAGCATGTGAGAGAACTTAGTTTTAATGATTAATTGTAATCTTCTTCCTTTTCCTATCTTGTAGAAAGAAACATAGGGAGCAGAAGCAGTTTAAGTTGGAAAAAGGAGATTTTTTTCCAAAATTAAAGGAACAAAGTCAGTGGACAATTAAGCACCCAATCACTCCATCCACCCCGAGAACAGAGCTCTCCCACTCATCCAGTCTCAGCGACCATCCTTCAGTGTGGGAAAAACTGTACATTATCAGCTTAAAGCAACTGCAAATGTAACAGGTACTGCAAGACTCAGTCAGGCAAGGCAAGGCAAAACTTATACAATAAAAGACACTTGACAAAAGGGAGAGCAGCAGCAGGAGTAATTTAAGTTTAATTTTTTTTATTTAATCACAATTTTTTTTAAATACTTTTTTTTCTACAATGAGTTTTAAAAAGCCCTGCCTTACTCAGTGTAGACATGGTTCATTTGTTTAGTTAACTGCAGCCACACACTGTGTATGCTATTGAGCGAAGAAGCTCGTAATCTCCAAAGTATATGCAGTGGCACAGAAACACACTGTAAATAAAATACTGCTCCTACTTCTTTTGACTCTGTTGGTCTGTAATCACTTGTCTGTGAATAAAAGCTAACCATCAGTCATCTGTGTTTTTTGCTACCTCTTGGTTGGACAGGAGGTCCAATCCACATGATTGGGCAGACCGTTTGCCCATCATGGCACACTAATTGCATATTTTTCCCACCGGACAAACCGCCTTTGCTCCATTCCATCCCTCTTTTTTTCCGGTGCCAAGAATGGCACTCCAAATCAAGAACTGAAATGAGCATGTTCAGGCATGCGCAAGTCATTTTTTACTGAGATCAGCCAGAATTATGTTGCATTGCAGTTCAGTTCAAAACTCATCTCCAAGTCTTAATTACTCTTTCAATTAAACTCCTTCAGTTTCTAATCAACACATTTGGAGGTAACAGGACAATATTTAATATTTGTTATGCTGCAATCATTATTAATGAATTATTGTATATACATTTAATCATTTTACAACCTAAAAGTAAACTTTATTTACAATGTTCTGGTTAGTTTTCTCCACCATTTCACTACTTAGCTTCATATATGGTATGTTTTTAAACAATAAATTATTTCTGCAATGTCATCTGATTGGTAGATACTTCTTTCATGCCTTTCACAAACTACATTGTTTCGAACAAAAAAAAGTTAGTCTATTGAAATACCATGTTTTTTTTAATTGTGTTTTATTAGTATTTTCATAGTGCATGTAACATTGGCAGCTTTTGTTTCAGTAAGCCTTTTGACCCCTCCTGATTGCAAC